GAAAAAAAAATTCCAAGCCTTGAGATACAATATTGCAGGATTCTGTACAAAGTACGGAATGCTGCAGGAAGCACTGCAAGAAGGTGGAAGGAATATAGTCACTGTGCCAAGAAGAATCTGTTGACATGGAATCATTTCAGCAAGTAGCAGACACCTGAATAGCAATGGCACTGAAGGAAGGAGTCCAAGCTGTACTGAAAGCATTGGGGGGGGGGGGGGGGGAGGGAAGGCTCTAGGAATTGACAGAAGACCAGTCGTGGACATGCTTTATTGTCTATGCCAAGACATCGAGTTTATTATCATTGTCCCCAAAATTGTGAGCCAACAGAAAGTAGATGATATTGAACAATATTATTAATACCAATCACATGTAACTGGATCAGCAACATCATAAGTTCCAAAGAGACTGATGTTGGTGATATAATTTTACATGACTCTACAGTCAACAATTAAAGAGAAGGAAGAAATAAAGAGATGCTGCATTGGGCAAATCTATTGTTGAGGATCTCTTCAGAGGGCTAATGAGCAAGGATTTCAGTTTAAAGACTAAGGTGCACCTGACCTATGCCATGGTATTTTCTATTCTTTCATATACATGTAAAAGTTGGACCATGAATATGGAAGAAAAGAGAACTGATGCCTTTGAAGTGGATTTGGTGTAGTGTACAGTGGACTGTCAGAAGAACAAATCAACCTGTCTTTAAAGAACAGTGGGAGAATTTGTCTCATGTACTCTGGGGCCAGACCTTGGAAAAGGACATGGTGGCTTACTGGGTAATGGGCTACAACTGAGACCAAGATAAACTTGGAAGTAGTAAGATACAGTTTAGGAGAAAGGTCACAGTTTAACATTAGGGCAGCTTCCAGGCAAGCTGGCTCAGCTCCTTCTTGGCTGTTCCCGTAGCGAGCTCCCACTCTTAGCCACATCTGCTTGTGGCTTTTCTCTAGGCTTCTGCTCAGCCCCCCTGGCCAGTACCAAGAGGTACCCCTCTACCAGCAAGCCTCCTGCTCGAAGGAGCTCAGTCAGCTCTCACTCCCTGGCTGGTCATGCCACCCCAGAATCTGCTGAGCCTGCTGCTTCTACTTGCACAGCTGCTGCTGTTTCTGTCATTACCGTCAGTATTACAATTTTTCCTTTGGATCCAGGAGGTTCTCAGTGCATGGGCTCTGCTCCATGCTTTTCTTTCTGATGGCACTAAGGTAGATTTGACCCTTAAAATTAATTCCAAGGCACAGCCCTGAGGCTGACCAGAAACTGTCCGTCCAACTTCCTCAGTTAACCATTTCCATGACATCATTTATCCTATTGGGTAATTTTATGTACCAGGTTAGCAGTTACTAATCAATCCCTTGCAAGATTTTGGCTCTGCCAATCGTTCTCAGTAATATTACAAACCACGGCCAGGAATTCTTAGGTATGAAAAACCTTCTGCACCATAGCTCCCAGCAGTCCTTTTCATTTGAACACATATTATCAATATGCTTTCAGTCTAGAGACTGAGGTGTGCCTGATCCTGGCCATGGTCTTCTCAATTGCTTGTCATGCATCTGAGAGCTGGACAATGACTAAGGATGACAGAATTATTGATGCCTTTGAGTTGTGGTGTTGGAGAAGAGTAGTCCCATGGACTGCCAAGAGAACAAACAGCTATCCTGGAGAGGTGAAACCAGGGTTTCTTGGAGGGATGGATTTTGAAGCTCCAGCTCATATACTTTGGGGATACTGCCAGGAGGGACCAGTCCTTGGACAAAGACTTCATGCTTAAAAGGGTGGAGGGACAACAAAGGAGAGGAAGACCCTCGATGAGATGGATTGATACCATGACTGGCAATGGGACAGGTGTATCAGAGATGGCGACTGGCTCAGGACAGGGCAAGGTTCAGCGCCGTTGTTCATGGGGTCACTATTATGAGTCATGGTCAACTCGACAGCACCAATACTTCAAGGAGCTCTGGTGGTGCAGCTGATCAGTCAGTGATTCGAATCCACCAGCTGCTCTGCAGGGGAAAGATGGGCAATCTCCTTCCATAAAAATTTCTAGCCTCAGGAACCTAAAGGGATGAATCAAAACGGACTTGTCGGCAGTAGGTTAACAATATCTCGCATCAGCTTAATGAATTATATTCAAGATTACTTTCAAATAAATGGAAATATCTCCATTCTTTCTGCGGGGAAACAGATTCATTCCAAAAGTCAGAACGCTACCAACAGAGTGGATTATATAAGACTAGGAGCTAACAGGCCAAGGAAAAGGAGAGTGGGAGGGAAGTAATCCTCTCTTTGAGATAAGGAAACAATCAATTTACTAGGGGAGCATTGGTCTTCTAACAAGTGGAAAGAAGGAAACTAAACAGACCTGCTTCAATTTCTATAAATAAAACCTTGAAAGGCATACTGCCAAAGAAACACAAGTCAATATAAACCTTTATATACTGGGCTGCCAAACTACACTTTTAGACAGTATATTAATTATGTAGTCAATAGCCATGGGTTTCATTAGTGTATTAAATACCACGATCAATATTATTTATACTTTTGCAAGATAGGCCACCTAGTGGGGGAGGGGGATGGAGGAGGGGGATATTTTTGACCCTGCAGCCCAAAAAATCAGAACAGCACACTAGAGATTAGGCAGGCTTTAATGGAAAGCATAAAACATGGAAATATGGACAGAAACCAGATTTATCTTTTCCCCTCGCCTCTTTCACAATGAGACAGTGGGGAATTCAAGAACCATTTAAAATAAAGGCGAAATGATTAGATTCCCCCCCTCTTAATTGCTTAGTGTTGATGTCATGGTGCATGCAAGTAAACATTGATCTACAAGTGAAAGATGAGAAATAGAACAACATGAACAGTCTTTCGAGGTAAAGCGATATCCAGGAGAATTCTAAGAACTGTGGGCCAGAATCTATTTAGGCAGTCCTCAGGGACCTCAATCTCTTAAAAGCATAGCGGTGGAGCCAATTTCTGATGCTCCTCTACTGGTGATCTGATTTTGAGCAGGGAAATCTGTTAAAAATCCTCTCTAGAGAGCCCCTCCCTCCTGTGCAATAGTCCACCTGGATTTCTAATCACATCCACGTCGACAGGCTGATTTTGTCACACTGGTCATTAGAAAGAGCAATGACTGGTACAATGTTCTCCAGATGCGTCACGGTCACTCCAGCAGTCAGCTCTCACTGAGCAGATCCGTGCTGGAGACAGGAGCGGATGCCAGGAGTAGTAGATATAAAAGGCTGGTTACTGGACTGAAAGCTAGATTACCACTTCCAACCCACAATTTGTCAATCTCGAATAGTGCGGAAGGCTGTAATTTTCTAGTCAGTGCTTTATAAGCAGGGGGAGACAGGAAAGAGTTTCCATAAAAACAGTGAGGCCTCAGCCAGAGAACCAAGGGGAACCCAAGGATCGTCATTTGAGACTAGAGTAAGAGGGAACAGGTCTACACACAAGGGTCTGACAAAAGGGCCCCCCCTCCACATGTGCTCTCAGGGCTGGAAGGCCTCCTGTCTAGATGATGCTGGTTCTTCCCAAAAGATAGTAAGGGTGAAGCAAACAGCATCTTGTCACTCTCACTCCAAAAAGGGCCTCCATCTGCTGCATTTGCACAAATTTAGAAAGTAGGTCCTCCAGCTGCAGGCTCTCTACAATGCTGCCTGGCTACTCGGAGAGGGATGTGCAGGAAATGCCAATCTGTGGGCTGCAGCAACCGTATAGATAATTAATATGATTAGGAACACACAGAGCAGGCATGCTCTTGCCGACTGAAAAGCCCAGTAGCATAATTACTGTTTTCTTACCAGCTCACTGTCTGTACACATTTCAAAGCCTGGTTGGTGTTACACTGCTGTGTAAACATCAATAAAATCCCAAAGTGCCGGATCATCAGCATTCTTGGGCACAATGGCTTTTTTGTTTTTAGTGTTTTCATTCTGTTAAAGATACATTACAGGGTTGCAAACATTAGAAAGAATGATCTCCATGCTAAGGACTAATCCTGGAGTTTGTAATGAGTTAACATCTCCCCCAAGTGAACATTTATTATGAAGGCTAATTAATTGCTTTCCAGTTATAAGAATCCTTTGCATTCAAAGAAAGCCGGATGCATAAGCATAGCATATACTGTTTATTAAAACAAAGGAAGAGAAACAAAGGACATCCCTTTTTCAAATTCTTTCTATTTAACCAAGAAACGAAACATACAAATGTAAGAAATATGTACAGGTAGAAAAAGTGTGCACTCACCAACCCAAAAATGCAACCTTAATTGAAGTGAAAACTAAAGCGGTGCTTTGTAGTTGCTTGGGTTTCCCTAGGGGACAGCAAGTCAATGCTTATCAGCCTTCCTCAGAAGAGACAATTTTTATTAATATCAGACTCATCTGACTCAGTCTATTAAACCCTGAAGGAAGGATATTCTTCAGATATAAGAGATATGTCTTTGATTAATAATTCTACCGTATTGCCATTCCAGACATTAACAACTCTGTGGCACCTCTAGAAAGAGCGCCTTTGAATTCTCGGAAGACACATTAAACTATCCAGGTTCCAGACCACCCGTTCTCAGCTTTCTCCCTGACAAGGAACTTGAGTGGTGAAGGTGTCACCTCTGGGGAAGTACAACCTTAGTTACATAATTTACTTCACCGTCTGCAGACTTGGCATCAATTACTTGCGACATAATTCCTGCTTAAAGATGATGAAATTTTAATAAAATTGGCAAAAAAGCTGGGAGAGACTGTGTCACGGCACTTGACCAACCCCCGAGGTCTGACACGGCTTCATATCATAGCCATGGGAGCGTCCTTTCCTTTGCCCACCCATGGGTTCCAAGATGCACATAAAAGAGGAAACTGCTTAGTCCACTCTACAGAGGCTCCCTGCGTGTGCGGCTCCTGTAGCACTGTCACATGGGGGCGGGTGGAGAGGGGAGAAATCAATTTCATTTCTACTCTTTATTGTCAACCTCCAGTCAGTCAGCACGACATCTCTCACGTTACTGCATGGCATTCTTCCTGATGTTTGCGATCAGCCTTCTGCCATATTCTCTGTGGTCCACAGGCTTCACATCTGTCACTGAGGCCTTGATTCGAGACTCATCCTTTGAAAAGAGAAAAGCAGTTTGTGATCGACTGGAAAGCCCTGGCACAGAGAGAGGATGGCGGTAACTGCCTTGCTTCAGCGGCTTCAACAAGCCCAGCAGGAGAACACAGAGATTCGATGGTCTGAGCATCCATCGCAACTCCAATAAAGAACAAATTATGAGTTAACGCCAGGTTTAGAATTTTTGGCGCTGACACAGTAGGCTGAAATCTCCCTTCAACAAGGGTCCCCTTTTATTCTTTCTTCTTGTTCCCAAACACCAGAAATCTAGATGCCAAATGGGAAGCACCTCAGAGGGCTGATCAAATTCAATACATTCTACTACAGAGTAGGTACGAGGGGACCAGAGAGGATTAAGACACTTGCCTACACCCACACAGGTAGTTAGTTCTGAGAGCTGAGCTTTCTTTTCATGGAAAGCTGCATATGGTGTCAGAAAACCTAGTTTGGGTGCTGCCCCAGTCCTGGGTAACTCTCTGTGCAATGTACTGTCTCTGTCTATGTGAGGCGGAGTTCTAGCCCCCACTTCCCAACTCAGCATTACAGCGACACCGCTGGCCTGTATTTCATTTAAAGCTGATAAGGGCTCCTCATGCTTCAATGTGTGGTGATGCTGGTAAACCTGGCTGAGAGCAAGACTCTGAGGCGGCGCTGCCTATTTCAGCCACAGGACTCACGAGCAGCACATGACTGTCTACAGCAATTCAATCTCTGCATGTCTACATTTTCCCATCGGCACAATGGCACTGAAGGCAGTTCCTATGCGTGGAGTTACTATAAAGATCAAGAGACGGTGTGTGTAAAGAACTCAGAATTGTGTCTGGCAGAAAGCAGGTGCTCAATACAAGCTGCTTTATTATGACTATATTTTATAGACACTGCAAGAAATTCTCAAGGCAATCTTAGCCACACGTGGATCTTCACTTTATATGCCAATTTCAGAACCTCACTTTTGTGGGAGGTACTAAGTCCACTAGACAAACGATCAATTTTTGTCAGAACACAGCACAGAGAAGCAATTAACTGACAGCCATCACTGCTGGCAGGTGACAAAACTTTCCCAGTGCTAACCCTCTGTGCCCGAGTGACCTTACTTACATTGTAGGTCTCTAGTTTGACTCTTATCCTGAATGTAAAAGACCGAAAGTTGGCATTCTGGAAAGCTTCGTCAAATGCCTGCTCATTCTGCAAAAACAACACAAAAGTTTAGACACAGATACTGTTGGCTCATCTGAAAATGTCTCAAGATTTTTGAAGAATTTGAGAATCTTTTCTTGAGAAAATCATCATCTGCAGTGGTCTGAGATTCATTAGGTATGACTATAACTTGCAGGTGACATTTTCATTATGTAAAACTGCTTAAGTAGATTTTATTAAAAATTAAAACTCTCCAGGGAAATGCATTTCTTTCTAGTCTTCAAAAGCTTGAGATGGAACAGACCTGTGGCCCAACACTGTCAGCAGGAAGGTAAGAAACTTAAGAATTAGGGGTGGGCCAGGGAGTGGTGGTGCAGGGGAATGGTAGACATATTTCTTTTAGTATCTGTGTTTCCAGGTATGGAGCTGGTGAGTGGAAGCAGAAGGGAAGTGAGGTGGGCAGAGGATAAAGTCTAAAAAGCAGCTCCTCCCTCAAATACAATTTCATTTTTTAAAAAAAGCTTAGTAAACAAAGAAGGATTAAAGTATATTATATAACTTTATATAAAAAAGCCTTTAATCTTTATATACAAAATAGTTCCTATCAGTCAAGCATTATCTTGCAAGCCATATGGAATAAGGAAGGGAAAAAGATACGCTATATAGACCTTTTTTTTGTAATGGTTACTTTACTAAGCTCCTCCCTCCCTCAAAAGAAAGAAGTCCTTCAGACGTTCATACATGAAACAACAGGTTCCAACACACACACACACACACACACACACACACACACACACACACACACACACACAGCAAGAACATAGCTCCTGAGGGAAGGGTTTCTATATGTCCTCATTCACCAGCAGTAAAAACAGTCAAACAGAATAAGCTAATAAAAAAATTCTGAAAGGCTGCCTCTGGCCTTAAAATCTGATATGAAAATAGAGGGTCTGGCAAAACACACAAAAGATACCATCACATTTTTAAAGTCAATTCCAGTTATTTTTGTAAAAGGGCATGTTGGGACTCTCTGGCAATCTCGTGAACAATTTTAAAAAGAGATGGGAGAAGAGCCAGACAGAACCGAGGACAGAAAGGAAGGAAGAAGAAAAACATGCCAAAACAAACACCAAATTAACGTTTTTCTAGTAGCCATTACAAATATTCCAATTTACAGGAAATTGAATATAACCTCCCAACAAATACCACAGACAGAGGTGAATTTATGTGCCTCAGAAAATACTGCTCTTACGCAACAAAATAAAAGGTGTGCTTTTTTAGAAAAAAAGAAAATTAAAATAATTTTAAAAAGCATCTCTAGTTTTGCCTACTCTATTGATTAAATAGGCATTTGCCAATTTAAAACAACAACAAAAGAAAATGCTGCTTATAATGGCCTTCATTACATAGTTAGTAACTTATCGTTTGCCTTAAACCATCTTCACCTATAAAAACACAAATGAAATAGATGAAATCATTTGATTAAGACAATGTCATTTCACAACTGCACAGACTACCTGAAATACCAAGGATTTTTCTGGCATGTGTGCATTTGAATTAGGATTTGATTCAACTTTTCGGAAAGGTGCTTATTACATTACCCAGGCACACTTGGACTCTTCAAGTTGTTTTAGAAGATGCCTTCCAGGTTTCAAGTGGTCACAGACACACCAGCTTTGATGTGCTCAGAGTAATAAGAGGCTGATGCTTTAAAGTGCTTTGTTTCCGAAGCACTTTTATATACTTTACAAGTAGTTTCTAAATTAAGAATAAATTCCATTCCCAAGTCTGCCTTTAGGATGAATCTGATGAATTTGTAAGTCAGAAGGGGTAGGTACAATTTGTGCCTCACAACAGTCCAAAGTTCATCTTGGCACACAGTGCATCTTTCTATATAAAAACCAAAGAAACCCTTCCAGATGAAAGGAAACATCTTTCAACATGATACTATAGTAATAATAATAATTATAATGTTTTGATGGGTGTTTGTTATTACAAACTACAGCTTGTACCTCGATTTTTAAGACAATACATTGTATGGGGTAGGTTCACAAACATGGGGTTGCACATAATGAATGTTTATAACTCAGGGACAGGGGGAGCTTCATTCTCTCTTCGTTAGCACACCCAAAACTGAACAAAATGAGATGAGCTCTCAAATTTATCATCACATTGAGAAATTATACATAGCACACACACAACCCCCCTACCCTCCAGAAGATACTAAAAAAGACAACAAGGTAACAGGGCTGCCGCCTAGGAACGACCGGACTGACCTTCTCTTTTAATTCTCCCAGGTAAGCTGTGCTCTGTCCAAGCACCGTCTCTGCAGACTCCTGGAAACATGTGACCCACTGATTCTCCAGAAAGTCTGCAATATTTACCTATAAAGAAATGACAACTCTGTATTATTACAACAAAGAAATAATAAAAGGAAGGCACACTCAGGAGACTGGGGGATTAACCTTTCCACTCATTAATTAATTCTTGGGAAAAAATCCCACCTTACAATACTTCTTTGCAAAAAATATGAAAGGGACCATAGAAAAAGTTTAAAATGTTAAGCCTGGTTTGTAGCAGGAGACACAGCCCAACTATAACCGCCTTAGGATGCAGAATACGGGCATGAGGATTTTGTTCTCCTCCAGCTCCAGCGGGCTTTGGACTGATAGCTTCTAAGAAGCCTTCAGTGAGTTAAGGCAGATTCTTTGCATTTTATATTGTACATTCCTCAGTCGCTAGGAAGAGCTGTATAAGACAGGGCTAAGCCAAATATGAGCAATCCAGTCAATATAAGAGCCTGAGCCGGGGGACTTTGTCCAGTCACTATTTTTACCTAATAACACAATGAACAGTAAAGTTTCTCCAATGGTCTCTAGGGGAGAAAGAAGGAATAAAGGGAGTATCAGAAGATTTTACAAATTTCTTTCATAGGCACACAGGATTTAAATATCAAATGTTACGATAAATTAAAAAACAAAAAGGGAAAAGTTAAAAGCACCCACAAATATAAGAACATGGTATCACTTGCTGGTTGTCACTCTACTGTGTACCCTACGCTCTTCTAGGTGCATCTCTCTACAGGGCAAGGCCGGCCATGACTGAAAGGATACCTCGCACATGAAGCCAGTGTGCAGGGAATTCTACCATTGAGAAGTTTAAAGGGGAGCTGACAGAATAAATGGTCTAAAACCATTTTCTTCATTTTAGTTCAGGGAAAAGTGGTTAATTCACAAAAAGTATGACTTTTACATAGAACTTTCATGCTGAACTAACATTTTAATGGGCGTTCAGAATGTAATAAAGGCAGTGGAATTCCTTATAAACTATTTTCTTAAAAAATTTTCTATTGTTGCACACCCATGTTTATCACAGCTTTGTTCACAATAGCAAGGAGCTGGAAACAACCTAAGTGCCCATCAACACACGAATTGATAGAGCAGCTGTGGTATATTCACACAATGGAATACTATGCTGAATTGCAAAACAAGGAACTCATGAAATATTATTCAAAATGGGTGACCCTGGAGGACATAATGCTGAGTGAAATATCTCAGTCACAAAAGGACAAATACTGTATAGTGCTACTGTTGTAAAACAGGACTGACATCGGGGATGGAGGGACACTGAGAAAGATGGGATAAATAATGTATACTGCATTGAAACATATGAGGGAGAGAACTGTTTAAAAGGGATATATGATTAGATATTTTTGTCATGACAGGAGTCCAGAGCGAAGGCTACATGGTAGAGTGGACCTGGGGGAAGAGATTGTAAAACAATGAAAGAATTTTTCTTTTACTTTTCAAAGAGAAGAGTGTACTGGGGTTGCAGGTGGGCAGGGAGAAAAGTGCAACAATGAATGAATGGAAAGCCAAAGTCTCTGTAAATTTTCATTGAAATTAATAATAATAATAAAAATTTCTATTGTAAGAAAAAAAAAAAACACCAAAAAAAAACCCCACCCCAACCCCAGAAATAACCACTACTAGTATTTGTCCGTTTTGTTTTCTATGTGTGTTGTACATGTAAGGCATATCACTCTAATTTACTATTCTTGATTCATATAGCCTGGGTACTTGTTATTTCATAGTCTTTCATTTTAATAATGGTTTAGAAACATTTTTAACTGTGGAAACTTCTGTAAAATGAAGGCAAATTTAAATATTTTCTACTCTATGGATATTTAATAAAGGAATTAACCAATATTTAAGCTGTATCTATTTTTTCAAAAGGAAACAACCTGATACATATATAACATCTCAGATTATATCCTTAGACTACATTCCCTCCAGATGTTTACAGTGTCAAAAACAGAAACATTTTTACTGATTCTGACTTACTACTGCCAGATCACCATGGAGAAAAACGTTGAGTGCCCATCTTCTGGTAGATTCACTATCATTTAGTGCTATCAGCCTCTCATCAGCAGGCAGTCACATGCCTCTGAGGTCAGCTCTAAGGCTTGAGAAACAGATTACCCACAAGAAAATAACTAAACACAGGTATTGCCTGTGTAAGTACCATTACTGAGCTCTAAAAATGCCCTATCAAATGACTTTTCTTTGTAACGTTAACCAGTGAGTGTCACCAGCGCTGTCACTGTCATATGCATGGCAGCTGAGATCTGCTGGGTAGATAAAACCAACTTTCAAGGTGAAGAAGGCTTTTAGGAGGAGAAAACATACTGCTATTTAGACGAGCGAAAAGCTCTGCACTTGATAATTTATGAAACAACCAGAAACTCTCTTGCACTAACTGTAGACTTCCTACCAGGAACTCTATCTTGACTTCTGCTGTTGTACCGTGGTGTCTGGACATGTGGAGACTTGAAAAACCTCCATCAGAGGCTCACATCTACCCATTCTACTTACTGACAGGATCATGCGGTACTTGAAATTGGGAAATTCACTGTCACACTTCTCACAGCGGTACAATCCATTCTGCTGATCAATCACTTTCTTATTGCAGTCCTGAGTTGGGCAGGCCTGGTACATACAGTTCTCCTTGCGAAGATAAACCACTGTCGCCACACAGCTAAAATAGTCTGGCTGCAGGAGACAAGTGCGACATGAGACAGACCATCAAACCCTTATCAGGATTGAACTGAGTGGCAGCTCAAAGCTTGCTCTAACATGCAATAAACTGGTAAGTGTTTCTCTATTTTAATTCTCAAGGTAACAAATTGCTCATAGGGTAGAGTTCACTCCACAGTTTTTGAAATGACACGGGTTAAAACTCAGAAAGGTAAATACTAAAACATCTAACTCCTTATCAACAGAAGAGTGAATTCTAAATTCATTCAAAATGGAAATAATTTTTCTTTTTTGCTTGAAGGTTACATGAAAGGTACATTAAGAGATGAAACCTGTTCTTCTAATCTATACAAGCTAACAGATCTAGAAAATAGTGTGTAGATCATAACACTTTAGTAAGGCTGTGATCAAACATTTCTTTTGCAAATTATCTTGAGAACAATGACAGTAAATTCTAGGGACTTAACATTCACTTATTGTTGTTTAGGGCAGAATCAGCAAATCTTTTCTTTAAAAAGTCAGAGAGGAAAGGTTTTTGATTTATGGACTTTGTGATCACTGTCTGTACTGAGGTGGCGTAAGAGTAACCACACACAATGGGCATGTGAGTAACTGTTCAGCTGCAGTCCACCAAAAAATTCTATTTACAAAAGCAAGCCTTAGAGGAGACAGGTGAGTTAATGCTGAAGGGCACTGAGTTAAAAGATGTGGCCTCTCACTTGGATTGCAGACCTTTGATCTTGGAGGTCAAATTCAGCAAAATGTGAAAACAAACTGCTTTCAAAATTAAGAAATCAGTGATTAGTAAATCTAGCAAGGTTATGTGCTTGGGTTTTATTGTTTGGTTTGTTTTTTGTTTAACGCTCATAGAAAGGCCAGAAGGAGCGCTGGTGGCGTAATCCCGAGGGAACTGTGGTTTAACCCAAAAGTCGTGCTTCTTAGTAGTTCAAATCCATCAGCGGCTCCGCAGGAGAGAGACGGATAATCTGCTCCCATGCTATTTACAGCCCTGGAAACCCAAAAAGGAGTCAGTCAGCTGTGAGTCAGGTCTGACTAGATGGCAATGAATGTGCGCACGAGAGCGGGGAAAGAACAGAAATGAGTTGTTCTTTTGGGTACATTTCCTACTGCCAGGAAGCAGCTCTCTGTGGGTGAACCTTGAATGCAGAGCCAGGTTAGCAATCTCTAGGGCTGTCTCAGGTCTAAAGAGGCAAGATCTCTATAATGCTGATGTTACAGCTTGGGCTAGCCCCAGTTTAGAAGGTTCTTGAGAAAATAAAACCCTTAGAAAGCATCTTTCTGTACTTTGCCAGGTTAGGTTCATATTCAAAGTATGGTTTGAAAGGTGTTTCCTGTGCTTGACTTATTATAAAAAACTGTCTTACCCTTTGTTCTAAGAGAAAAAATGGGGGCAAGAGTCTCCCCAAAGCATTTGTTTCCATGACAAGACAACATGGATCTGTCCAGAGTGTTAAGTCTCAAGGTGTTAAACCTAACAGAGTTGAGTTACTACTGATAAGAATGACAGATAAGGAAACATAGTGAAACAAGACAGTAAAGAATAGACCTAATAATGTAAGTTTATAAAAAAAGATTTTTTTAAATTTAGGAGCACAAAGGAGAAACAAATGTTTTAAAACTGCTGGAGGAGGGGCAATCTCCTCCTGTACCAGTCAGATTTGATTTGATGGTACACACACACACACACACACACACACTCTCTCTCTCTCTCTCTAAAGTGAACTGCTGATAGATGTTTAAGTTAAGGCAGGAAGAGGGTATAAGGTTAATGTCCTAGCGTCAATTAAAGTACACGTGAACTGTCAATGTGTGGCACGGAAGCCAGTACTTAATATATGGATATTGTTATTATTTGAGCTATAACCTCAAAAAACACCTTGTTGACATGAGGGCACTTCAATTTACAATAATCATCACAGAAAAGGAACACAGGCCAGAAGACAAGTCATGTTGTCATAAATAGCTTTGTTACTACCACTGCTATGAATGGAACAGCTCTCTGGTCAGGGTTCTTCTCTTCTGACCTAAACTACCTGCAGGACACAACCTATTCCTATCAGTAAGAGAAGCCCCTTCACTCAGGGAGTGATTGTCAACCATCAGGGGCTGCTCTAGCCAGGGCCTCAGTTACAAGTCAGCTCTGAACTCATGCCTGACAGCTGGACTCAGAAATGGTAATGGAAACCCGTCCTTTGCACCTCCATCTGTGTTTTTATTGAAGACGTTAGGAATGCTGATTACCTTGTCACCCTGGCCCAGGTTCTCAGATTTGACCTCATATAAAGTCTTCCAGTTGGTGTTGCTCCCCCCTGCTCCCCCAGACTTCAGATCAGAGATGGAAACACCATCCAAGGCTTGTCCTTCAGAATCAAACCTGAAAAATTAACAAAGAACAGTCACAGGGACTTGACAAAACTACTTTAAGGAGCTACTTTCTCCCAAATGTGCCACACAGGCTTCCCACTCTTCTTTGGCTTTTTTCAATAAGTCACAGTCACTTGGGCCAAAGTCAGCACCTTCCTCTTTGTAATCTTTAGTTTAGTGAAGCAAATGAATGACCCTTATCTCAATTGTTTTGATGCCCCCCAGTGGTCAAGACATACAGTGCCAAAGTACCACAGAACCTTCTGTTAAATTAGCCTTAAACCGCAACACTGGCCGGAGGGCCCACAGCCTAAAAACAATAACCAGAACCCTCAACAACAAAGCAGCAATAATGCAGAGCTCTCCAGATCAGAGAACTCTTTGGGCTGCTGATGCTCATTCCTGACCACAAGCTACATTTTCATCCTAACAGAAATGTATCCATACGTAAAGGAACAGACATCCTAATATAATAGGTCAACAAGAATGTTTCCATGGTGAAAGATCTTTTAAGCTTGATACAGAGTACAAAAGATTACATAACCCAGAGTAATTTACTAGAAGGTATTATCTATTTTCTTGTTATGGATTTATTTTCCTCAGGAGACTTGATTTATGCAAGCAATAATGTTAAAATTTGTATTAACTTATTATCAAAATAGACTGTATTTCCTGACCACAAAACAGCTGATATGAAGGAAAGAGGCCAGGAAGAAAGTGGCTCAGGAACACACCTGTGGCAGGGAAGAGTCAGACTGAGATTAAAAACATAGCAGATGACATTACAAAGGGGGATAACAGAGAGCTGTCGGCTTCCAGAACAGACTCCGAGACAGAGGCCATCCAGCAGAATGGATGTGGCCCGGTGCTGCAGACAATTGCCTTCTCATTCTGTCAGGTAAGCGGCTAAATCCGTCACAGAGGCACAGCACGGTCCATAAATCTGTTCCACCACAACCAGCTACACAAGTTTATGGTTTAAAAAACTCCAAGGAGACATTTGCCACCAAAGACAGCTCATCAGGAATCAACAGAGCAAGGAGTGAGGCGGCCCTTCTCACAGTAAAAATCCCACACTGTTAAAGCCAACCTCTAAACACCTCAAACTCTTGCCAAGGTGGAGGACAGGCACCAAACTTCTCTTTGATCAAGGCCAATTTATTTTCTTCTAGGGGCAGGCTTGTCTTTGGAAGCTGATGGTGATCATGGCTAGTGAAATAGGAAGACCTTACTGTGGGCATCAATTAACCTGGGGTCACACTCCAGAACCAGAAAGAATAACCAAACCAGGACAGATCCAAGTGATGGCTACTATGGGGCGGATCAGTAATGGGCCCTGCTCTCTAAGGTAATACCGGCTATCTGTGGACCTGACTCTGGAGACAAGTTTACAGGACATGAAGGAGGCAATAAATATTTCATGAAATTATTAAAATACCACCACTACTTGTTCCTACCAGGCTCAAAACAAAAGTGTGTTTGGGGGTGGCGGGCATGTAACATGAGATGATTCCTTAGTTACTTAAACCCTAAGACATGGTTTGAAACTGACACATCCCCCCTTGTGATTACTGCTATACAAATTATTTAAGCTCAAGCTAGTGTTTTCTGGGATCACATCAATTCTTACATTCTAAGCCTCAGTTTCAAGTGTTCTTTTAAGGCAGTTACAATGCCCTAAAAAGCTACATACTTTGAGGAGTTTAACAGGCTCGCCTCATCCCTTGAGTGCTTTGGGACTAACAATATAATGCCAACAAAAGCCCATTGTTCCTACCACATTGTATCAGAGTCTGAGGAATACACAGTGAAGAGGTGTGATGGGCACCAGCGGGTGTGTGGAGTAAGAAGGCACTTTCCCTTCCCACGCCACAGAAGCTTGCGGCTATAAGCGTGGGTGGGGGGGAGAAAAGCACCCTCAGCTCCCAGCCCCTCAAAACAGAACTGCTAAAGTCTGGCTGCATCCCGCTTTGGCCAGATCGGACTTGGCATGCACCACACTTCCATTCTAATTGCCTCCTCGGACTTCTCTGGTTTGTCATGGGATTACAGTTTGTCAGTTTAAGGTCTCTAAAGCCATCCTCTCAGAGGGTATAATGCTGCCAAGAAATTTAGCTCCATTCAGTATCGAAAGCCCTCTGCTCGGCAGACAGCTCACAGACTAGACTGACTGTAAGAACCAGGAGAACCAGCTCCCCTCAAAGCCCCAGTTCAAACAGTCCCTTTGTTTAGCCCCATTAAACCTACCATCCACGAAGCTTATAGGCCTCTGGGATATCAGGATTAACAATGACAGTGCTTGAAGACAGGACAGAGAGGCTCCGGCCACCAAAATCAGAAAGTCTGGCTCCTTTGATGGCCATCACGGGTTGTCTAGAACCATCAAATCTATCAGCCTGCGAAGGACAGAAACATCAAACACATACAAACAGGCGTCACTGGCAGGCTCATTTGAGAAAGAACACAAGGAACATTTTTATAGAAAATAAGGAAAAAAAATGTCAAGAGTAAGAGAGAATGCAATACAAGGGAACATGGAATTGCTGTAAGATAGACCTCACATACAAGAATTTATTCAGAGATAAATTGAAACAAACAAAAAAAACAAAAACCAAAACCAAAAAAAAAACAAAAACCCACACAACAAAAAAACCCCTAAAAAACAAAACAAAACAAAAACACACCAACCACCAAAAACAAATATATCTCATCTCTTACTATCTTCCTAGAATTAAAGAAAAGAGAATTTTAGTATGTAAGCCTTAAATAAAAACAGATCTCATGGAAGTGAAACCACATAAAGGATTTCAATTATACACCAAGCAGCCCAACCCTCCACCCTATGTACACAGCAAAGGACCACAACCCCTCAAAGGAGCTGCTGGTGTCTGTCTGTCTGCACATGCCCCACCTGCTCAACCCAAGTACTTACATCTTCTCCCCACAGAGTAGCCGACACCACCATCCCCGACGTGTCCATCAGATAGATATTTCTCTTTGAAACCTCTCGGTTGTTAGACTTCACTATGACCTTGGTGGCATCTTCATAGCTCTTGCAGATCCCAATTATGTCTGAAACACAGGCACAGTGTTTCAATAAGAGATGGTCAAGGATCCCATTTTCATAGAGCTAAAGGCTGAATGGCAAGTGCTGGAGCCTTCCATACCTTCTTGATTTTACTGCAAATGAAATTACCAATTACCACTCTCTTTGTTCCCAGATGAGGACTTACCGACAATTGAGTCTTTGGGCTTGTTCTCGAGGTCACCAATCCCCGTGAAATCAAACTGAACTGTGGGTAAATGATGATCATCTTCACAGGGCAGGACAGAGGTGTCATTATTGAAGGTCATCTCATAGTCATTTTTAGAGGTCGAAAATTTTTTGTTAGCAATCTTCAGGGTACCTTTCGAGAAATAATAGACCTGCAAGAGAGGCCAAAACGTGGAACATCCACTCAGTCAAGCACGAAAACCTTGTACCACCACCGCCTAACTCTCCCTGGACAACAGTCCCCTCGCTCTCCTGTCAGAGTCGAGACCTAAGGTCAGCACCACCATACCTTGTTCACGTCAATAAGGGGAAAGAACTTGTCCACTTGCTCGTTGAAAGCAGTCGCTCGGATTTCACCCTGCAGAAACACGCAAGAACGGCTTTAGAATTGGAGTGCTTCAACATTATGTGTGCTGGTGAACAACAGGATACATCAGGATCAAAACGCCACCTGGAGAGTAGTATGATAACCATCAATGAGAACTACGAGAGGCCTACAAACCTGCAGAAACACGCGTGTTACAGTCTTCAGTTATTAGCCTGATGAAAAAAAAATGTAGGCTTGACTAGATAATCCTGTAAGCATGCCTTATAATCCTCAAGGGGGGAATAAAAAAAAAAAATCCAGCAATGAGTTAACATTCTAACAACAGAAACAAAATATTCTGAATACTGAGTGGCATGCCTGAAGCCCACAGGGGAGGATGCTGAACACGGTGAGTCACAGCTTCTGCGGGGTGAGTGAGTGAGGACTGCATATTCAGGAGTCAGAGCCAAAAACGTTAGAACCAGTTAGGCTTGCAGCTTGTGTGGGGTTTGAGTTTCACTTTTATTTTTTTCTGTGAGTTGAAATGCTGCAGATGGGTAAGAAACGTCAAAATAAACAGCTAAAATCTTACTCAACTGACAGATTTCATAAAAAAAATTAGGTTCTGATGTTGCTTCTGTCACATGACTGGTACATTTAAGGTTTTATCCAATATTCAAAAAGAAAGAAAGAAGGAAAAAACCAAAATCTGCTTTATTTCTATCTTCTTGGGAAAAACTAGAAAAGAATGCATCAAGTAGATTTTAGGATTTACAAGTGAAATTAAAACTGATACACAGCTATCAAGCCTCCACAGCTTGAAAATGTTTTGGTCTCATGATCCTGGTTTGGTTTTGTTTAAATAAAGTGCATAAATAGCCCACACAATCAAAATCCATTTCCCACAAAGCCATTTATTTAGTCAGGTAGGTTTTGCCTGCCTTCTGTGCTGCCCCAGACAAGGCACTGCTAGTTCCTCTTGTTCATGTGCTTCTTAAACATTTAGACAACTAATTTCTACTTCAATAAATGCTTTTATTTAAGATCAAGGATTTTATTTGTGACCTTCAACCCTCTGCTCCCACACAGGATCAAAAGACTGCAACAGCAAGAAGAACAATGACAATGGTGTTTCTATTTGGTCCACTATTATTTTACACCTGATGGGCTCACAGGGATGGGGTCTCTATTTCTCACAGTCAAGTACACCTCTGTGGCCACATGACAAGTACTTACACTTTCATCAACCACTTCAATAGAGAAGAGCTTTCCTTCTCCTCGAGAATTGCTCCAGGTACGAATCTGACTTTTGTTGGTGACACGAGCACAAATAGTCCACCTAAAAAACAAATAGTGTTATTATAATTCGTGGTGTGACTTGAGAAAGAGCTGAAAGATTTCTCATCATCTTCCTGTGCCCTTTCATATCTTCTGCATATCCCATCTCTCAATGTTGGTTGTTAATCCAGTTAATTATAACCCCAAGATGACATACAGGCTTGACAGTTTATAGAACAAGCAAAGAGTAGAACACAGTGTGATTTAACACTAACTCATTCCCCTGTCAAATAAGTAAATTTATAGACTCTCTTTTTCTCCAAAAGAAAAATAAAATCACCAAGGCAACACTATACCTTAATGAGAGGTTTTAAGCTAGAAAATGCAATAATACTAGCAATTCTATTTTGCCACTATTATTAATGATAACTGATATCATTGGCCTCCTTCTAACATACGCTCAATGTAAGCTCAAGTTTATGAAACTTTGGGGGGAAAATACCTGGAAGCAGTCTGAACAAGGGACTACTGAAAAGGCAGTCACAAATCCAAGACGTTTACCTTGGGTTGTGAATACAAGAGTCTTGAACAATTCGGTTTATTATTGAACATTCATCATAGGGAAAAGCTTCTTGATTGAAAAAACCTACATATGAAAACTATGAAGGAGAATTGATGCCTTTGAGCTGTAGTGCTGGAGAAGAGTATTGAGAGTACCATGGACTGCTAGGAAAACAAACAGATTCATCCTGGAAAGGGTTAAACTGGGTGGCTCCTTGGAGGTAA